AGGTGGGAGGATACTCCCCAGTTTTGTTTCCCCAACAACTACAGCTTGGACATTTGGCCCATACACAGCTGCCTCGTTCTTTTCCACGAGGCCCAGTATCCCAGGGTACAGAGGTGTCATGTACTTCATTTAATCAGTCCCCTGTGGATGGACATTGAGGTGACTTCCCATCTTCGGGATTTCAGGTATGTTGCTGTGAACCATCTTATGCATTTATCGGTGATCACGTCTGTAGTGCAATTGATTGGGTCAAAGGAAATGTTCCTTTAAGATTCTGGTCCTATTGCCAAGCTGTTGTCCAAACTGGAAGGCCCAGCCAATTTCCCCCCACCCCACCTCTCCCTCCTGTTTGCCCACCTGCTGCAACAGCCTGATCTTGGTTAACGCAGACAGGGGTATTGGTTTCTAATTAGCATTTCTATAGTATGGGAGGAGTGAAGCATCTTCTCCCTGAGAACCGCTCCGGGTGTCGGAACTGCCCAGACCAGGCTGGAGGGCGAGCCTGGGACCCAGCCCAGTCAGGCTGTCCCGCCGACGGCACCCACAGCTCCACTCTCTCCTTCGGTTTCTGCGTTTTCCTTCCTCCCCCACAAGCATCTGATTCCTGGAACCAGGCTCGGTGACCTCACACCAGTGACTTCACATCCGGGACCTTCTGGGAATTCTCAGCAGCACTTTTTCGTTAGAAACCTAACGGGGGAGGCCGGAGGGGAGAAGGAAGGGGGTGCGTCAGTGTGGGGTGGGAGGGGCGGAGCTTTGGGGCCAGAAGACCGAAAGCCGCAGAGCCAGTTTCCTTCTCGCGATCAGGGACGGGTGGAGCTGGCAGAGGCGTGTGCCCCAGCCACCGCCTGCGGGGCCCGAGTACCCGCCTCCCGCGGCGGGCAGCCAGGCACACGCGCGCCCCGCCCCCGTCATTCCTGGTTTGGGGCCAGGGGGTTATTCCCGAGTGCCCTCAAGCTGAGCCTCTCTCAGAGCTTTCTTTGAAGTTAGCTGGTTTCTAACTTGGCAGCTCTGCCACAGGTGGAGAGCAGGTACCAAGATGGAGAAAAGGGGGGGCTGCGCGGGGGTGGGGGGCGGCGGCGTTGATTAGCATCTGCAAGTATAGTAAGGGAGAGACACCCCAAACCGAAAGGTTACAACCAAGGTTACAACCGGATTTTCCGAGCTACAGAACTTCATAAGGCTGAGAGGTCAAAGGACACATTGGATGGCCTTTGCTTCCTCGCAGAGGTTGCCTCCGGGCTGAGTCTCCGAAACCACGTCTTCCAGAACCGGCCGTGTGCGGGGCGTGGGGGCGGGGGGAGGACGGCGCACAGCAGAAGCACGCCCAGGGCTGCACTATGATTTTTGCAGGCCCCTAAGCACTTTTGTCTGCATGGGCTCCCTCCATAAAAAAAAAAAAATTAAAAAATGTATCTTACCTACTTGTGGTATAAAGAGGAATATGTTAATGTTACATATCAAAGCATTCTCTTCTACTTAAAAGTTCTCCCGAAGCTCCATGCCTGCTCTGCCCGGTGTGTAAGCTGGCCCTGGGCAAAACCGGGGTGGCAGGACACCCTGGGTAGAACATCAAAGCACCGAGACGGTAGATGCTCAGGGGGAGGTGATAACTACAGGAAGCAGCTGTAGGAGAAGGGCCGAGGTGACCTAGGCGTGGGGGTTTCATGGTCGAGGGGGTGAGAGGCTGCTGCAGGGCTGGACTGGAGGATTGACAGTTGGGAGGTGGCCGGGGAAGTGGGGAGGACCTTGGGGTGGCCGTTGCCACAATATGACATCCAAAGTCTCAGAGCGACAGCGGGGAGATTCGGGAGACCAGGACAGATTGGTATGAGGAGCTGGGGCATGGATAAGCTAGGGCTCGCCCCTCTGCCCACACCCCTCATGGAAAAGGAGAAAACAAGGGAGGAAACTGGGTGTGCTTCAGGAATTTCGGAAGACCCAGTGGAAGGTCTTTCACCTATAGTACAGCAAGGAGAAGCTGTGTACCTTAATAGACCTGCGGGCCGCTCCAGGGCTGCCTCCTCCCCAGGCCTCGGCAGGGGCTCCTACTAGGCATTGCAACCCCCCTCTCCCCTGCTGCTGAGGTACCTCTCCGAAGCTCCATTCCCACGGGGCCACATTCAAGTTCTCCGCGGCATGGAGGACAAAACCACAGTCCTCGCCGGCGCGTCTCCAGAGTTCAGAATGAGAAAAAAAGACTGGGTTTTCAACACCCCTTAGAGTCATGGAACTCTGTTCCAGAACCTCGCTTGGCTACACACTTCTCAATCCCCAGTAACTCTGATCCCTCCTTCCCTGTCCACTCCCCAACCAAAATCGAAACAAAACAAGACAAATACCATACTTGACTTCTACCTTCCAGGGCAAACACTGGGCTTCCTCCAGCGCAGACCCGGCCAAAGGCAAGGGCTGGAGCAGGAAATACACTTGCAGGGAGAAGAGCTGGGCTCAAGGCCTCTTTGAAGGACAAACTTTTATCTGTTCATTCTAAAGCATGGACTGAGCACCTACTAGGTACTTTTGCATCATTCTAGACACTGGAAATACAAAAATAAGCAAATGAGAAGTGGTTTGCATGGGGAAGATATTCCAGGGAGGGAAGACTTGACTGTGGAGGTGGCACTTTCCAAAGACCGTCACATGTCTTTCAGAACTTTGCCTCTTCCTCATCTAAAGGTGGTGTCTGATACCCTTTCTAGGCAGACAGGTGACTCATTTGCAACCAACAAAATGTAGCAGAAGTGAATTTGGGTGACTTCTGAGGCTAGGTCATAGAAGGCAATGCAGCCTCTGTCTCGTTAGCCGGGACACAAGGCTTTGGAGCCTTGAAACGAAATGTAGGAAGTCCAACTACCCCGAAACTGCCATCCTTTGAGGTGGCCCAGGTCACATGGAGAGGCAATGCATGTGTGTTCTGGCTGACATCCCAGCTGAAGTCCCAGCCAACAGCCAGCATCAACTGGCAGGGGAATGAGCGAACCTTCAGACATTTCCAGACCCCAGCTGCCCAATAACCTTCAGCCTTTGGGACTTCCCGGCTGTGGCCCCGCACACGTCATGGCATAAAGACAAGTCATCCCCACTGCGTTCTCTCCAAATTCCCGACCTACAGAATTCATGAGCATTATAAGATGTTTAGACCACTAAATCTGAGGTAGTTTGCTATGCAGAAATAGTCTGTAGAACACAGGCATTAAGGAAATACACGAGCAAGATAAGTTTATATTGTGGTGTTTCATCAGGAAAATATAAAATGGCATGATAATAGGGAGGAAGGCCTCTTTGAGCTTCCTCCCTATTATCATGCCATTGGGCATCAATGGGGGGAGGTAGGGAGATAGGAGTTGGAGGCAGGGTCAGTATGGATCAAGAAAGACCTTTTTGGAGGGATGTTTGAGCTGGAATCTGCTTGAGAAGGAGCCCAGCCACTGAAGATCTGAGAAAAGAGATTTCCAGGCAGATGGTAGAGCACGTGCAAAGTCCCAGAGGCAGGAATAAGCTTGGGCTGTTCTGTGAAGGGTCAGAAGGCCAGTGTAACTAGGGGGTTGTGGCCGAGGAGGAGAGGAAATAATGAAGTTGAAGAGGAAGGCAAGTCATTCTGCTCTTCCAGGCAGCGGAGAAGAGTTAGATTTCAGGCTGCGGGAGCTGGGAAGCCCGCGGAGGGTATTATACGGAGTGACTTGGCCTGGTAAGCTCTTGATAAGAGCTTTGGCTGTCAGGTGGATGACAGACTGTAAGGACAGGCAGACAGTAAAGGCAGATAGGGCGAAGGAAGGAAGGACCACTTAGGTTATGGTAGTGGTCGGCGAAAGGGGGGATGGATGGCGGCCTGATGTAGGATGATAGTGAAGATGGAGGCTGGTGGACAAACTCGGGACACAGGCAGTGACAGATAGGAACAAAAAGGGAGGAGGCGCCTGGCCGGCAGGTCGGCCCCGGGCGGGGCGGCGACGTGGGTGAGGACCGGAACCCGACATCCTTCTGGAGTCGCAGAGGGAGGCTCGGAGCCAGGGCGGGCCAGGACAGCGCGTACTGGCGTCCGGAGACGGCCGCGCGGAGCCTGCCCCTGGCTGTGCGCCGGCCTGGCGTTTCCCGGCAACGGCCATCGCCGCCCGAACATTCCGAACCCGGCGGCCTAGGTGACGTCATCGTCACCTTGGCGACGGCAGGGTGGCAACGCAGTCCCCCTCCCGCACCGGGTTCCGGGGGCGGGGCCTGGGCGGGACCTGGGCGGGGTGTGCTCTGCCTTCGGCCCGCCCGCCCAGCTTCCAGCCCTGCCCCGCCCCTTCCCCAGGCAGAGGCAGGTGTGGCAGCAGGTGTGTGGGGCACTGGGCGAGGCCTCACCCAGGGGCCCCTGTTCTCCGTGGTGCACGCTGCCGCCCACGTGCTCACCACCCATCCACACGCCTCTCCCCACCGCTTGCCTCTACGCCGCTGCCTCCAGCTATCAGGACTGGCTCCTAAGTCGTCTCAGGTCACCTCTGAAGCGACACCTTCTCCCACCAATCAAGCTAAGTAATTGCCAACTCTGTCCTTGTGGACTGACTTTGTTATTTTTTATTTCCTTCACAGTATCGCTCCCCTCTAAAATGATCTTAATTGCTTATAATACGTTGTCTTCCCTTTTTAAAGCTAAGTTCCATGAGGTTAGTTTAAGGTAACCTTGTTCATCTCTATTTTTAGCACCCTGAACGGAACCTGGCATGAAGTGGGTGCTCAATAAATGTTAGTTGGATGACTCTGAATTCACTTCATTCGTGCGTTCATTTCTTTGACATTTATGCAGTGCCTTCCAGGCACTTGTAGTAAGTACTGGAGACACCGAGATGAACAAGACAGGGACTCCACCTAGAGGTGAGAAGAGATATTCCCGGGCCTGACTGGGCTGCCCTCCCCTCGAAGAGGATTCCGATCAGGTGCCACTCCAGGATGGCGTCCAAGACTCGCCAGGCCGACAGGCCAGAGACAGAGGGTCAGCAGTGTATGTGTGTGTGTAGGGGGGTGGGGTGAGAAGAGAAAGGAGAACAGGGGCATGGGCAGACCTTCCTGGGTGTCAGCCAAGATGGCAGAAGAAGGGGTGGCTGTTCCCAGCCCCCCAACGCTGCTGTTGCCTGGAAAACGGGGTACCTGGAGGTTGTGGCTCTTTTCTCTCACAGAGTGGACCCAGGAGCACAGTCAGACACACACAGGGGAGAGAATGAAACTGAGGTTTATTCTGAATTTTTTCTTCCCCTTTGGATGCAAAGTGGGGGGGGGGGCAGTGGGGGCAGGGAGGCAGTCCCTTTGGCCTCTAGGGATATTACTGATTGCCGACCTTGTCTGTGTGAGCTTCGGGCTGCCAGGATGAGCCTCTGATCCATGGAAATGGTGACAAAGGCGCTGCAGCCCTCAGCCTGAGCCCAAACAGAGAGGCCAATCCAGTGTTTAGTTGGCCCTGTCCTCTCCAGGGATTAAAGAGCAGATGGCTGAGGACATTTCGATTCATCATAAAAGCAGTGAAGACTGAGGGTGGCGGGTCACTTGGGGGGCTCCGTCTCAAGCAGTGGCATGCAGACTCATGCATGTCAGTGTGCGGGCCAGTCCTGTGTGAGGAGCACAGGTGCCTGAATTTATTCCACCCTCTACAAACAGCTGAGAGCCACCATCTGACTCTTGTTCCCCAGGCCTCTCTGTGGGCCTTTCCCAGTTTTTCTTTCTCTCTTTGCAAGAACTGGGCCTATTGATGGAGCCCATGAAAGGGAAACCAACTGTAAGTCTCCGAAGATGCCCTTTCTTCTTGGTCCTGGCCTCATGCGTGCAGGCGGTAGGTACCCACCTCAGTTCCTTGGAGGGAGGTGCCCCAGGGACTGGTGGGAGGCGGAGGGGCTCACTGGGCTGCAGGCTGGGAGTGGCTGCAGGGCACTGGCACCCTCCCTGCTTCCGCCAGACCCCCGCTGAGCTCGCAGGAGCTGCGCAGGAACTGTCTTAACAAGGGGGAGGCTTGGAGCCCAAAGTGGGCACCTGGGCCCCCTGGCAGCCCTGCCTGCTCAGTGACCGTGGTGGAGGATGTGAGGACTGAGTTTCCATACTGGTCCAGCTCCTCATACTGCTCAGTCACAGTTCTCATGGCCCCATAGTGCTGGGAGCCACCAGGCCCAGTCTGTAGCTCTAGGACACTCTTTTGCCGCCCGCTGGACACGGGCTTGGCTGAGGCAGGGGCAGGCTTGGGCTGTGCCGAGCACTGGGTGATCTCCTTTTTCTCGACCTTGTCCTGAACACCTTTCTGGTAGGGCAGGGCCTGGCTCACATCCTGGGCCAGGTTTGTGCTTTTCACTGAGACATCTGGGCCGCCCCTGGGGCTGGGAGCCTCCGGAAGCTTCCTTGCGGCTGATTTAATGGAGATGAAGGTTGGAGAGGAGGGCGAATCTCTGCTAGAAGGCAAGACAGAAGGGAGGCCTGAATCTTCTCTCAATGTCTCCAGCCTGCTGGTGGAAGGGGCGGTTGAGACTGCTTGACCTCCGGCCTCTGTGTGATTTCTGACCTTGGCTTGACTCTGGATGTCAGTATCGCACGTAACCTCGGATTGGCTCTTGACTGCAGTTTGACCCCTGACCTCCTGGCCTGAGCAGTTGGGTCTGGCTCTGCTGCTGTCTATGACACTGACCTTGCAGGCACTGTGGTCATTTGAGGGTCCTTTGGAATGGCCCCTGGTGTTAGCCTCGGGCTGGAGGCTAGACATGGAGCTGAGGGCCTTTTGCACAGCTTCCTCAATGTCCAGCAGCCTGGCCAGGGTCTGTTCCTTTAGCCGAGCAACCTCTGTGCTGACCCTGGTCAGCTCCCCAAAGGCCTGCTCCACTGAGGCCTCGGGCTTACGGGGGGCAGCAGTAGCCCGAAGGGCCCCTTCCAGCCGGGGCACAGCCTCAAAGAGCCTCCTCAGTGCCCGCACGTCCACGCTGCTTGCGGCCTCCTTCTCCAGAGTTTGCACCTGGCTCAGGAGGCCCTGCAGCTCTTGCTGGCTTCCCTGCAGAATCTCAGGGCTCTCAGGTGCCCCTTGCTGGGAGCCTTCCATCGGCTTCACCTCTGGGGTGCTGGGGTCCTGCTGCAGTGAGGTAGGGTCACTGCTGACAGCTGAGAGCTTGAGGGGATCAGGGCTCTGGGCATTGTTACCCACAGCCTGACTCTTGGTTGGCCTCGGGGCCATGGTGTTGGGACCTTGTTGGGGGCTGGGCTGGCTCTGACCACTGGAACATCCAGCCAGAGGCACATGCTCCTGGCCTGTAGAGGTGGAGACCTTGGCCGGCCGAGGCATGGCTTTATCTGTCTCGCCTTGCTTGTATTCTCCTTGGGAGGAGCTGAGAGAGAGAGCTGAGGGCTTGGGCAGCCTCCGAGGAGGGGGGATCTGGCTTAGGTATGCAGGTTTGGGGGGCAGCTGGGGCTTCTTCCTTGGGGGCATGGTAGGGTCCAGTTTCGGGGCCTTTGTCTTTGACTCCCCAGAGGTGTTTTGGCCAGCAGGGCTGCTGTGGGAGTGGAGAAGGGGGTCTTGCAGTGGCGCGGAGGCCCGCCGGGTGGAGTCCTCATCATGGTGGGCTCGGGCTGGGAAGTCAGGTCCTGTCACAGCAGCTGGGAGAGGAGGAGGAGGAACAGAGGCATTATGGGGGTGCTGGCTGGCTCCTGCAGCCTGAGACCCGGAGGCCAGAGTGTGAGGGGCCAAAGAGGCAGCCTTCAGGGTGGTCTCTGCAGCGTGGAGGCCCCCTGGGCCGACTCCTGGCATGGCTTTCTCTGGAGGCCCCGGGGCCCTCTGTGCACAGCCCCTGGGCTCCTCCCGCCCTGGCCCAAGACTCGGACCTGGGCATCCATGGAATGGGCTGGAAGCCTGGGCCAACAGGGCCGTCTCCCTGCCCTGTGGTGGGTGTTCCGTCTCAGAGGGCTGAACACCTCCAGGTCGGTCAAAGGTCCTCACAGGATGAGCAGTGTAGATGCCGTCCTGAATGGTCACCCACCCCCCAGGCAGCCCTCCGGGGAGTACTTCTTCCCCACTGACCTTTCTGGGGGCTGCTGGGATCCTGGGGTCCCCTCCAGCCAGAGGCCTGGTGTTGCTTTGAGTGGTCCCAGCAGCCGTGGCTGGGGCTTGCAGAAGACCGTCCTGGAAGGGTATGGAGGTAGCTCTGTGGGCAAGGCCCTGCTTGTGCTTGTTCAGAACCTGCTGGTGCAGGCTCTGGGCCTCCGCTGTGGCCGTCCGAAGACTCTGCATGGTGGCCTGGAGGCCGGTCGCCCCGGGCCCTGGGGGTGTGGTCGTGGCTCCTTCTGACTGTCCCAAAGCTTCCATCCCTTTTTGCCCAGTGCCACTGTCTTCTTGCTTTTCTTTGCCAACCGGAGGGACTGCCTTTTCGGTGGTCCATGGCGGGCAGGGAGTGGCTCCTGGGCCTCTCAGATGCCCCATCCCCATGCTGGGGTCCAGTGGGGGAACATGAATGATGTTCTCAGTTTGGGGCGGCCTCTGGGCCTCCTCTCTGGCTGGCATGGGACTTGGGTCAGCCGGTGGCTCCCACCGCAGGCTGTGCAGGCCACTCAGGTCTCCTTTGTCTATGCAGCTGGCCAGCAGCTGCACACTGCCCCTCTCGGGGGCCCTGCTGGGTAGCCAGGGCTGCAGGGAGTAGGCGGTCAGTGAGATTAGGCCCTGCTCTGTCTCCTGCATCACCAGCCCAGTCCTCGCCACTGAGGTGCCCAAGCCACAAGCTAGCAACTGCTGGAACTCTAGGTCCAGATCTTCGACGTTCCTACTGCTACCTGGAGCTGGAAGCCTCAGTGGCTTGAACCGGAGCTGGCCCGCTGGGTCCTCCTGAACCAGCAGCCCCTCCTGGTCCACGCCCGGCCGTTGCAGCACTTGGCGGACAATCCTGGGAAGCTCGCCAAACACCAGCTCCTCCTTCCGTATGTGGGGGGCCCCCTGCCCTGGGCCTGGGAGCACGTACTTGGCAAGGCAGAGCTCCCCTGGCCCTCGGGCCTCCATGAGGATGCCTCCATGGTGCAGGATGCCGGGCGTGGCATGCAGAGAGCGCAAGGTCGCCTCAGCTGCCGTCTCTTGCCTCTCAAGCACCCTGCTGGACCGGCCCACGGACTGCTCTTCCTGCAGGTCACCTCCTTGGATGCTCTCAGCTGCCAGGGAGCCCATGGGGCAATTCTCAAAGAGCCAGGTGAACTTGTTCACAGAGCCCACAGGGATGAGCTCAGGGATTGACTTTGATCCCTGGTCTTCCCTCTTGCCTGCCTCCAGAGCCTGGAAAAGCTCCTTCTGACGAGATACCTGCCCCGAAGGGATCTCCACTCGGCTGCAGTATCGCACGGGCCCTCTCCCACAGGGACGGCCAGACGCCTGCAGAGGCTCAGTCTCAAAGACGTGTCTGTCTGTCTGTCCTTCTCCAGTCTGGACCTGGCTAACCTGCAGGTGTTGCTCCCTGGAGCCTGCTGGCCTGTCCAGGGACTGGGGCACAAACATCCAAGTGCAGGACCGTGCCTCAGCCTTCATTGTGGGGTCCGTGACCTCTGACCCCTGCTTCTCGGCCAACTCACTCATGGGGCATGTCTCGAACAACCACCGGATGGTCTGCACGTCACCCTTGGCGGGTGCCTCTGGCTGGAGGTCTGCTTGACACTTTCCTTCTTCTTCCTGTCGTTCCTGCCGCTCCCGCTGGTGGATTACTTCCAGGGGCTGGGTCTCAAAGAGCCACCGGGCGGTGCCCACGTCTCCAGCCACCACTTCTTGCCGGGTGATGCCCCGAACCACGTCAACAGTACTGGGATTTCGGCCCAGCTGGTCTAGGGGCAGTGTCTCAAACATCCACCTGTAGCCCTGCACGTCACCTCCGACTACTTGCTCTCTGCTGACAGAGGTCAGGGCGTGGAGATGGCCTTTGCCATCCTGCATGGCATACACTGGGGACCCTATGTCCTGAGACTGCCCAGCAGAATCCGTTCCTTCTACTTTGCTCACACTCCTGGGGGTGGAAGACTCACCCTGGCCAATGCTGTCCAGGGGAAGGGTCTCAAAAAGGTTCTTGAAGGTCTTCACATCCCCCTTCACCCCGTCCTTCTGGGGGACACTTGGAGAGAGGGACAGTGCTGAGGAACCATCACCCTCCCGGGCACCCACCCGCTGCAGGTGACCCACTTGGATCTTGTCTCTGGGAGTGTCCAGGGGCTTCATCTCAAATAGCCACAGGGTGGATTGGACGTCCCCAGGGACCACTTCCTCTTTGGGCGGGGCCTCTGCCCCAGCCTCCTCTTCCCCTTTTAGAGTGTCTAGCGCTCGTGTCTCAAACAGATGCCGCTGCTGCTGAACGTCTGGACCGGGAGGGATAAGGTCTGGGGATGGCTGGAAGTCCTTCTCGTCCACCAGGATCTCCCGGATGGCATCCAGGGGCTGTGTCTCAAAGATCCAGCGAGTTGCACTGACATCAGGCCGGGTCCCCTCCTCCAGGGAGATCCCCCGGATCACCCGCACCTGACTGGGGTCCCGGTTGATGGCATCCAGAGGTTGGGTCTCAAAGAGCCAACGAGCTGACCTCACCGCGTTGCTCTGGATCTCCTCCCGGTATGCGGCCTTGACCTCATGGATGGTGCCTTCTGCATCCTGGATGGCACACAGTGGCTCCGTTTGGAACAGCTTCACTGTCTTCTTCACATCACCCTTCAGCTCCTGGATCTCTGAGCGCAGCTCCAAGGGACTCTGCTCCTGGAGGGAGGGGCGGGAGCCCAGGCGGTCCAGCGGCCGAGTTTCAAAGAGCAGCCTGGTACCCTGCACATCTCCGCTGGCTGCAGGCTCCCTCACCGTGGCCTCCGGGGCCTCGGCCTCACCCTCACCCTCACCCGTCAGCGCATCCAGTGGCTTTGTCTCAAACAGCCGGCGGGCTGCACGGACATCCCCTCCAGATGGCCGAGGTCTGGCTGGCTCCTGGTCTGTGCTGTTGTCAAAAGAGCCTTCCTCAAACTTGCGGGAAGTGGCCTGGACGTCACCGCTGGGCACGGGCTCCTTGGCAGCTGGCTTCTCATGGTCCCCGATGGCATCCAGCCGCCAGTTCTCGAAGATCCAGCGCATGCACTGGACGTCGCCCTCGGTGGGCTCCTCAGAACCCAGGACCTCAGCCAGGTCTTCAGCCACAGCCTCGGCCAGGTTCTTGCGGAGCTCAGGGTGGATGTGCCTGTAGAGGCGGCGGAGCTCGTTCGCTTGCCGCTGCTGGTGGAACTTGGAGAAGGACTCCTTGGGTGGTGGCAGCGGCAGACCGTCCAGGACTGGTGGTGGAGGGAGGGGCAGGTCCTCTGCCGTGGACATCGGGATGGTTGGCGTGGGGGCCACCTGCATCTGGGCGTTGGACATCCTTCTGGAGAGAAGGGCAGAGGTGAGAATGGGCTGAGGGCCTTCGGTGGGAGGGGGCTGGTTGCTGGAGGAAATGGGAGGGAGCAGGGTGCAGGGACAGAGTAGGGCCACGGTGACATGCCCTCTCCAGGGAGACTGCACGTGGGTCTCACTCTGCCACCTGCGTGCTCGGTGTGTGACAGATCTTAAACTTGGGGCATATGGAACCATCCACTGAGGTGAGTCCCGGCTTCCCCAGAATCACCTGAGCAAGTAGGGCTCTGCTGGCCAGGAAGCTTTGTCCTTCAGCCCCACAAGGGATTCTCAGACCTCCAGCAGGCAAACTGGACGTGCCTCATCCTCACCTTCCTTTACCAAATCACCTTCCTTTACCAAAGTCAGCATTCCCTGGCGGAGTCCCAGATGAGTGGACTGAGGGATTCCTGACTTTTACGCATCTCAGCCAGGGAGAAGGCCTGTGACTGGGGACTATTTCCCAAGGAGAAGAAATTCCCCTTTGTAACACCAGAGGGCGCACTTGCCACTGTCACTGGGCTTTTTGCCCAACCTCTCTACCTATGCTCTCAACTCACTCTCCAACCTTTCCCAGACCCACAGTCCAGGCTACAGCGGAGGCAGTAGAGGCTCTCCAGGTTTCTCATGGTTAGCAGAGCCAGATCCTGAATCTCAGGTAGGGGTTTCTGTGTTATACCCCAAGACCCAGAGGTGTGAGCTAGGGGAATCTTAAGGGTCTTCTAGCGCAATGACTTGTAATTAAAGATGAGGGAACTGAGGCCCTGCAGGGTCAGAGCTTGGTGAATGAATGGGAGGCAGTGCTGGGCTGGGGCTCCTAGACCCTATTTGAAGCCTGGATCCCAAGAAATAAGAGGGTGGGGGCTGAAACTTTCTTAACAGTTCCCCAGCAGGCACCCCGAGGAGAGGGAGGGGGGCCCCGGCAGAGACAGCCCATCCCCTTGCTCCGGGAGACTTGGTCCCAACTGCATGCGACAGGCCCGAATCTGGCTCCAGGGTCCTCTCCTTTCTCTGTCTTCCTATCAATCAGTTTCCACCAAGGTGTTGCCCACCCCCCAGCTCACCCTTGCCCCCTCCATGGTCTCCCACCTCTCAAGCCCTTCTCTGGTCTCTGTCCCCTGTATCTTATCTGGCTTGTGACAGGTGTACAAACAGTCCCCGGAGGCCAGGAGGGGAAGAATGAGAAGCATGTGCCCCCACCCGCTGCCCCTGACCCACTGCTCTGCTCCACACGGGGCGCTAAATATAGCCCAGGTCCTGGCCTCAGCACAGCAGTCCTGGGCTCCAAGGGGGGCTCGGCTCCGCCAGGGACCCTGGGTGCCTTGGCCCATCTCTTCTCCTTCTCCTCCCTGGGATCCCGGGCCCTGCCCCTGGTCTTCAGGGTGACCGGTACTGGGGCCTGGAACCCTTCAGCGGTCAAAGGGGCGTGGGGCTGAGGGGAGGTGCAGGGACAGTGGCAGCAGGTGGGGGCAGGGCGTCCTCCTGCTTGCCCCACCCCCACCCCAGCTTGTCCACCGAAGCCGTCAGGACCCCGAGGACTGTGAACTCTGCCACCTGCCACCTGAGTCTCAGCACACACTCTGGGGGGGTTCCTTTAGTCCCCAAGTTCTAATGAGGACCCCTGCCAAAGGCAAACCCTGCCTGTCCCCACCTCCTCCCCATTGTGTCACAACCAGTGTGGCCTGAGCAGATGGCATGTGCAAGGCCACTAACTCCACCCTGCCGCCACCCCCAGGAATCTGCAGAATCCCTGCTATGGTCACATACTGTTAGACTCACAGAGTCCAAGGGTGTCAGACCCAACGACCCTCAGAGGTCACTGTTCAGATGGGGCAACTGAGGCCCAAAGAGAGGAAAGGAGCTATCCCCAGGGGCTCCAGAGAGCAGCAGCAAGGCCTGAAACAGGTTTCCCAGCCCCTGGTTCTCCCATGCCTGCCCCCACCTGACCTGAGACTCCCAGAGCTGAAGTTTCTAGAAGGCGGGGACAGGGTTGGGGGGAGGGCAGAATTCAGGACTGGGGCCAGACTTAGGGTGGGGGCCTGAGTCCCTCGAGGCATCCCAGAGCTTGGCCTCCAGGGCTAGCCACCCCCTCGGGGCGACCCCCCCCAGCCTGCCCCTCCTTGGCCCAGCCCCCCTGCAGCCTCTACACCTGGGCGGATGCAGACCTTGTCTGCCCACCTTGCACCCCCAAGACCTGCCCCCAGGGCTCTCCCCACTGGGTGGGATGATGGCTCAAGCCAGCCCTAGGGACATTCCTGCGCCGGACATGTCCGGATTTTCATGCCCAATCGCAGAGCTCGTCCTCGCAGTGCAGAGTCAGCCCTGCTTCCCACCCTCCGCCCGTGTGTCTTCCCAGGTCTCCTCTCCTTTCCTCCAGACACTGGGCCTTCCTGGGAGGAAGCCCTGAGGTTTGGGGAGCTCTATTCCTGTTTTAAATATTGCAACTCCAGGCCACCTCCTCCTGAATGCCTTTCTGGATTTTTTTCAGACTGGCAAGTACTTGTCCCTTCTTCGGGCCTCAGGCCTGTGACCGCCAGTCTGAGAGCTCCTATGGGGCTCATGCTAAATCCCCCTTAACTTCCTTGTGGGATCATTTTATATCAGAGACCCCTCCGCTCACCTGCATGGCCCCCAACCTCCTTCTGCCCCCTCACGCATGCTCTCCTGAGAGCCACTGGAGTGTGTCCAGAGAGGACCCCAGCCTGGCCAGCCAGCCTGCGGGGGAAAGGCACTCACCTGATGCCCTGCTTGGCTGGTGCGATGCTTGGGGTCTGTGGCAGGTGTGGCCTAAGTGTCTGTGGCTCCTCCTGAGCTCCTTGATCGGGGTGGGGTCTACTCTGCTGGTTCCGTGAGATGCCCTCTCGCTGCCCTGGTACCAGGTCTCTGTCCCCTGCCAGCCCCAGCAGCTGCCTTTATCTTGCTGGCTAGGGGGTGGGCCCGGGTGGGGGCGGGCGGGAGAGGCTAAGTTCAGAGTATGAAGTGGTTCGGTTATTTTTAGGGCTTGTGGAAGTCACTCTTCCATCCTGGGGAATCAGTTACATGTCCTCTCTGCTGGGGAGGGGAGGCGGAGCGAGGGGAAGGCTTCATTCACCTGAGTCTGATCTGAGGATGGGGCTCTGTGACTCAGCCGCTCAGCCACTCAGCCATGGTGTGGGGTACTGGTGTCCCGGGCTATTTTGAGGAAGTGAATAAGGAGGGGCATCTGACACCTGGACAGCCCTGCCCCCCCCCGTCCTGGGAGCCCCCCCCCCTACTCTGGACTGATGAGTGTGTGTCCATTGTGCCCGGAGGCTGGAGCTCCCCGCTCCCCTGCCCGCCTCGGCCCGGGCCCTCGCTCCCTGTGACATAAGGCTCGGTTCTCCTCCTCCCCCACCCCCTCGGCACTGAAGATTGTCCCCTCTGTCCGTTCCCCGGCTTGCCCACAGCTCAGTCTACAGGTCTGAATTTGCCAGCCATAGCTCTTCGCTAGGTCCCAGATTTAGCAAAGAATTCCACAGAGTGGCTCCGCGGTTTTCACAGCAGATTCTCCGGGTCCTTGTTTACTTTTGGGCTCTTCCCTCTGACTCAGGGCCCAGATTTTCTGGGAATGGAGGGGAGGGGAAGGGAGGAGTGGTAGGCAGGGAGCTGACTGTGGGGTTATTTCTGACCCTGGAGTCATCAGCTCTCAGTCACAGAAGGACGGGGGTGGAGTGGGTCACCCCTGCCCCGCCTTTGCTGCCCCAAGCCTGTGGGGCTTAGGCGAGATTCCTGGGCATTGAGGCAGGAAGGGGCTCGTGTGGTGAGGGGCAACAGGGGCCACCGAGAACACATGTGGAGGCAGCCCGTGGCCCAGGCTGCATGTCTAAGGCAGCGCAGGTGCCCGCTGCTACCTGGCAGGACAGGGCTTTCCTTCTAACATCTTCAATGTCCTCTGGTTCCAGGGTGTGACACCAGGCACTGTTCACTTTTTCCGCTGAGTCGGCCTCCGCCCCGCAGCAGCGCTGGCCTGCGGTGGGGACAGGGGCATCCGGGAAACCCTCTCCCTGGTCTCCTGCTCCTTCTTGTTTCCCCTGCCTTTTCCCACCTTCCTGCCGGCTCCCCAGGCTGCCGGCTCTGTGCGGCAAGGCCAGGAGGGGAGGGGCTTCGGGGTCTCTGGAGGCTATGCCCTGGCGATGCCCGAGGTGCCGACCTGCTCCGGTTTTGAGAATTGAATACGTTAAGACATGAAAAGATTTTATGAGTGTGCCTAGCACGTAGGCTATAGAAGTGCCTGCTGTTACTACAGAGGTAAGAAAAGAAAGTGGGCGCTTGAAATCTCAGGGGCCACTCTGTAAGGTACACGATGGTGTAACCACTTTGCTGTACGTCTGAAACTAATACAGAGTGATATTGAATGTGAGCTGCAATTGAAAGGTAATTTTAAAAAGAATAACAGCAGGTGGAGCCCACTTTGGTATTTACCTCAAGAGTGATAACTCAGAGTAGAAATTTCTCAGACCTGAATACTAATCAAGCAGCTTTTTGTGACAACCAGGTTTCTTTTTCTCTAATACAACGGTGCTGTCTGGCACAGTCCCCACTAGCCACATGTGACTATTTAAATTTAAATAGGTTAAAATAAAATAAAATTTAACATTCAGTTCCTCCCTCACACTAGCTCCATTTGAAGTGCTCCACAGTGACCTGTACCTAGTAACTCTCGTATTGGGCAGTGTACAATGTTCCTGGCCTTGTGGAAAGTTCAATTGGATAGTACTATTTTAGACACTAAAAGTCTCAGAACAGATGGCATTTCCCTTTTCACCTTGGCTGTTAGGAAGCTCTGAGCCAAATTTTTAGTCTTCTAGCAAGCAGACTTTGTGGCCTGTGGCCTGCATAATGAGGGTGACCAGCTGTTCCTGTTGGCTGTCTCAGGTTTCCCAGAACAAGGGACTTTCAGTTTTAGAACTGGGGAAGTCCTGCGACACCCAGGAGGGGTTGGTCTCCCTGTGTACAATGACCATCATCAAGGAGTCAGTTAAACAAGGCCGTGACAGCAGGAAGCCGGGCATTACTGCTCGGAGTCTCTTTGGTGGAGATACTGTGCATCTATCCCTGCAAATCCCCTTAGATTACTGCGGGAACTAGGAATAAATAAATACTTAAGGTTGAATGGCTGTGCCGATCACAAAACAGAGGGGACTTGGGTGATGGGGGGAGAGGGAAGGTTTCCCAGAAATCACAGTCCCTCCTTCTGGCCTGCTTCTCTGTCCCGGGGCCTTCCCCTGCAAGCCCCTCCCTCCAAGGGGGGCTCCACCGAAGTTGGGGGTTGGGCAGAGGTTCATGCCTATGTCTCCTCGTAGAGCTGGCCCTTGAGGGTGGAGCTCAGAGGGAGTAGCTGGCAGCAGACTCATCTGAAGTTTTAGGAACAGCAGAGTCCAGGAATGGTTAAGAACAGACTACCAGAGCTTGAATCTTAACCTGTGAGACCTGCCAGCTGTGTGAGCTTGGCAAGTTACTTACTCTCTCTGTTTCTCAATCTCCTCCTCTGTAACATGGAGAGAACAATTATGCATATCTCGAAGGCTGCTATGAGGAATATACATTTATCACACACACACACAACACTGAGAATAGCGCCTGCCACCCTAAATGAGCGAGGCTAGTGTTTCCCTGGATCCTGGCCACCCCCAGTGTCTCCGAGTCCTAGATCCCAGCGTGTCCTCTGGGTTCGAAGAGGAGTGCCTGTCAGGGCAGTGGCTCGCAGTCCTGGCTTTCCTCCAGCCCCGAAGCAGACACTGGTGCCAAGGGACAGCTCTGGGCACTGTGGCTGGATCTCTTCCAGGCCTGCAGGCGACAGGCCTACTCAGCCTCTTGAGAAAAATCATCTGAACTCAGGGAAGGGATTTTCTGCTCTGGGTCAGCTCACAGGGTGGACAGATGTGCGGGGAGAGCTCCGCCCTCCTGCCAGGGAGTGTTGTGACTATTGCAGGAGATGCAGCAGCTGGGAGTTTGTGAGTGTGGGATCTGGATCAAACCGCCAGCCTAGCTTCCTCGTTACCGTATTTTGCTGTGTCTAACGCTCACTTCCACATTTCTGGCCCAAACTTTCAAGGGAAAAAAAAATCTCTCATTTTAATTTTTCAATTCAGTTGTTTTTTTATTTATATTTAGATTCTTGCTTTTTGTATTATAAAGGAATCCTAGCATTTATTTTTGAACATATGATGGTACAAACAATTACAAAACACAAGAACAGATACAAGGCATTTCAGGTACTACCCATGTATAATGCGCACCCTTATTTTTCCCTCACCAATTTGGGCGAAAGTGCGCCTTATATACGGCAAAATACGGTATTTGACCTCTGAGAGTCCTTCAGCTCTCTGTCCCCCAGTGTCTTAGTTTGAGATATGCCAGTAGCAGAGTTGAGACTGAGGGGAACCTTTGGGTGCGGGCGATTTGCCTGGTGGGGGAGGAGGTGGTGTGAGCGGGGAGAAGTGAGTTGGGGGAGGGCGGGCAGCAGATCACTTCTGTGGGCATCTGGGGCTTCCTCCCTCAGGGGCCCCTCTGGAGGCTGCTGTAGAACGGGCCTCACCGGCAGTGAGGAAGCTGGGGCCCTTTCCCGCCAATCCTCACCCCCATCGGTTGAGGCCCTCTTCCCTGGAAGCGCTAACGCCCCCGTACTTCCCAGGCCAGTGTTTGAGGTGCGAGGAAGCAGCGGACTCGCAGGGACTGTCCCTTGGAGCTGTGGGGGCCCCGGGAAGGGGTGAGAGGGTCTGGGGAGCACTAGCAGGATTTGCTACTGTCGAGTCTCCCATCTGTGAGATGTTCATAAGCCTGTGTCGTGTGGTTGCTTTGAAGATTTAGACATGCTTTCCGGGTGTTCTTTAAATAAGAGTATCTAGGTGGGCTGGGCCCAATCAGGTGAGCCCTTGACCGGTGGAGTTCCCTCCAGCTCGTGGCAGAAGAGGACATGGGGGAGGCGGGGGGTCAAGGGGGAAGTGGAGGCCTAAGGGGGATTTGATGTCCCATCACTGATGAGGAATGTAGGTGCCTTAAGCACCTGAGAGAGGCCCTAGGCTGACAGCTAGCAAGGAGGTAGGGATCTCAGTCTTACCACTTAGGGAACTGACTTCTGTCACCAGCCCAAAAGAACGTGCGTTTCCAAGTGAGGACTCAGCCTAGTTTCTGCCTTTCGATGCCTTGAGCAGGGAGCCCAGCCCTGCCATGCTGGGCTTCTGACCTTCTGAACTGTGGGCTAGTCCACGGGCGTTGTTCAGGTCGCTAAGTTTGTGGTATTTCGCTACACGAGCAATAGAGAACTAATATAGAATGGCATCCAGGACGGTCAGGGGAGGGCGGGAGGCCGTGCGGCCGTGCCAGCCCACTTGTGACAGTCATCTAGTCAGCCCAGAGCTTGGCCCGAGCATTTTCTACCAAGTGGCCGACGGGGGTGCTAGGCAGCAAGGCTCAGTAACCCCAGGTCACCCCCAAGGAGCCTCAGAGCATCTCAGAATCGAGAAAGCCTAGGTAGGGAAAGTCGGAGCAGGAAGCACCCAGTCCTTCCTTCTTCCCATCTCACCCTTGGGGAAACTGAGGCGTGCAGCAGTGCCCAGGTGCTGTGGAGCAGTGAAAGGAGCTGGTTCCAGGCAGTCCTCTTTGGGACCCTAGTGCCACCACTTCCCAGCTCTACAACCTTGGACAAGTTGGGTCAGCTCTCTGAGCCTCGGTCTCCCTGTCTGTACAGTGGGGATGACGGCTTTGGCCAGGGACAGGTGAGGGAAGGGTGTTCTGGGCAGAGGGAAGAGAGCGGGAGAAGGCACGGCCGTGGGGATGGTGTGACGCGTGGGGTGTGACCGAGTGCAGGGTGCAGGGGCAGAGGGCGGAGAGACAGCTCGAGCGGTGGGCAGGGGCCTTGTTGTGAA